TTCTGCGTCTGTAACTCACGTGTTGTCAAAGCGACCTCACACCTTATAGAGATACAAAGGCCTTAAAAACCAGGCCTTAAAAACCAGCCCTTAAAAACCAGCCCTTAAAAAACAGCCCTTAAAAACCAGCCCTTAAAAACCAGCCCTTAAAAACCAGCCCTTAAAAACCAGGCCTTGAACTATGAACGGATGGTGGGGGGCACGGACCTCTGGTCTGACCAGAGGTCCGTGCCCCCCACCATCCGTTCATAGTTCAAGGCCTGGTTTTTAAGGGCTGGTTTTTAAGGGCTGGTTTTTAAGGGCTGGTTTTTAAGGGCTGTTTTTTAAGGGCTGGTTTTTAAGGGCTGGTTTTTAAGGCCTGGTTTTTAAGGCCTTTGTATCTCTATAAGGTGTGAGGTCGCTTTGACAAACACGTGAGTTACAGACGCAGAAATGGTCACAGCGGCACTAAAAAGAAGAAGTGTTTCTGCCGTCATCGTGAGGAGGTCCCAGTGGGCCGTGACTCCCTCCACAGGGACACCGGGACCAGGAGGACTTCAGTCCCCTCTGAACAAAGGACGCCGTGGACAGAATCCTCCTGTTCACCTTGTGACTTCCAACAGGACTCGAGCTCAGTTCCTGAGGAGGAACCGCTTGCTGTCGAAGCACACGAGTCACAAACCGACACCTGATGTCGTTCCACACGATCGGAATAGATTTCATTATTTGTGTTGATGCCTGTTGTTCTGCCCCAAAGACTCTTTGTCTCTGCTTCTATTCGTGACGCTTGTGTCTCCACAGAGGAGACGCAGCTGTTTAAATGAAGAGAGACATGTGGCTCCATCTAGTGTCCATGAAGAGGAGGAGATGGTCCCCTGGTCCCCTGGTCCTCTCCTCCCAGCTCTGCCTGGATGACTGGTGATTTCTCACAGTCACAGCATTGACAAATTAATAATTCAAGAAATCAATATTGTGAGAAAGTAATATTTTAAGAGAAAAAGATATTCAGGGATTAGATTAAAAAATAGAAATATGTTGAAAAATAAAATGCATATATTGAGAAAAAGCTCCACTCGTCCCACATACAGGACTCCATCTTTATTGTGTGGTTGGGGGGTCAGTGGGTAGTTGTCAGATCCTCCTGTGTGTGTGTGTGAGACATAGAACCTTCTGGAGCGGCAGGAGATTTGGTGTTTGCTCGTTGGCGGCGTCGCCCATGAGGATATGAAAGAATCCACAGTGACTAAAAGTTGGACTTTAGTTGTTTAGGAGCCTGTTTGCTTTGAGCCAACATGCCTTTTGCCAGTAAACGCTGCCGCCGGGGGGGCGCGGGGGCGCGGGGGGTCTGTGTTTGTGAACACGGAGTCCAGGCCGCGGCCTCCTCATCGATCCGCTCACCTTTGACCTTTGAGTCACAGTCTGGGGAGGCTTGAAATGGGCGGCCGGCGGCGCCGGAGAAGCATTCGGCGACCACGACGAAGATGGAGAGACTCAACTTGCTCGTCTGGCTCGGTGCGATTTGTGCGGCTTCTACTCTGGTGAATCTGTTTTAACTTCATACGTTAATAAGATATTAATGTATCACCTGCTTTGTGTCCAGTTTTAAAATCAAAGCTTGGCTGTTAAAATACTTCTGTACTGATTTATTACACAACACACAGTGGTTCTTACTGCAGTATAAATGCAACTCAATCATCTTTATTGTAAGTAGATTATTAAAACTTTTCCTTTGTCAACTCTGGACAGACTTTAAAAAAATCTGAACTCTCCAAAAACTTGTGTGAACTTTATTCAAATGCATTTTAAATATATTTAACATTCTTAAAAATGTTTAGATTTATATTCATACGCACACATAAAATGTCCAAGTTCTAAAATCCAGATCACAGTCTGTCACAGTATTATGTTCTAGTACAAGTGTATATATATATACATATATACAGTATATATATATAAGAATGATTTTATGTGCTGTTTTAAAACATTTGATTGACATTTGACGTTTCTTTTACTAAAATATAAAATCAGCTCTAATAAATGTCCCCGTCGTCCCCAGGCGGTGTTGGACCCCCGGGGAGCCCGACCGGTGGAGCAAGGCACCAGATCCGATAAGTGTGCCACAGAGAAGGAGTGGCCTTTCTGCACCGACGACCAATGGGTGATGCTCGTTGTTTTAACCGATGCTTTGAATAAACCGTTCTGTGAGCTAGTGAACGAAGGTAAAGCTAGCGACGCCAAGCCAGCTCATATTACTATTATTATTTAACCTTTCGTACAGAAATACATCCAACAGCCACATTTAAAGCCACACACGGTGTAAACCGTTAGTTCAGCCTCATTTGTTTCAGATATTATAATCTTTGATATTGTGTTTCCATCCGTCCTGAGTTCTGTTGTACTGGGTGATATGCACTAATACCCCCCCCCCCCCCTCACCATCAGGGCCCCAAGTGCCCGTCGGGCTGCAGGATCCAGGGTCTGATGGACCGATTTGAACACGGCTCCCTGAAGAGGGTGGAGAAGATCCGCAGCCTCCTGGACCAGCACAGGGCCAAGCACCGGTCCACGGACCTGGTGACCAAGCAGACGTACGACTACCTGAAGGAGAAGCTCACCTCCGACGCCGGTCAGTGGCTCCTAGAAAGTATTAATATGAATGTATATATAAATATTCATTCATGTTATATTTAGGATATTTAGATTCCATTGTTCCCACTTTTTGTAGAAATAAACGATCAACGAAATGTAGCTGACGTCCTTCTGCTTCTACTCGTGATGATGCTTCTGCTCCCACAGAGGAGAACACTAATATTCACATGTGAAGCCCCTTCCTCCAACAGGCAACGACAACAGCTACTACGACCTGGCCCAAGGCCTCCGTCAGAGGATCTCCGACATGAAGATCAAGATCGACCGGCAGCTGAGCATCCTGCGCGCCCTGAAGCAGCGCGTCGGGGACCAGGTGGTGGAGATGCAGAGGCTGGAGGTGTGGGGCCACAGGCGTTGTTTTTAGCTTCAGCTGAAGTTTTAAAGCCGATAACTAAACAGGAAGCATTAACTCTGACAGGTGGACATCGACATCAAGCTCCGATCCTGCAAAGGTTCCTGCCAAAGCTACAACACCTTCGCGGTGGACCACGAGAGCTACGTGGGGCTGGAGAAACAGGTGAGAGCACAAACACAATGAGACATCCGCGGGGTTTCTATCTGTACAATCAGATTATTTAAAGGCCTAGAATCTTTATATTTAAAGTCATTTAAAAGCTTGTTAAAGAGTCAGACTTTTATCTGCCTGCGTTCTTATAAGGTGTGTTTTGAGACGCTTGGTACGGTTTCTCCCTCGCGGAAGGACTTGCTTTACTTTCTACAGTTTGATGCAAACGTCTGGTAAGAAGCCACTGCCCCCCCCCCCTCTCTCCAGGTCAACCAGCTGGACTCCCAATCGGCTCAGAACATCGAGTCGGTGGGGACGCTGTACGTGATGAAGAGCCGGCCACTGAAGGACTCGGTGGTCGACAGCCCCTTTAAGTCCAAGGACGTGGACGGCGGAACGCAGAAACAGAACATGTTCCCCGATGTGAGGCGCCCTGCGTACTGGTTCCGCTTCACGTGATGTCGGCAGACTTTTGCCTTTCCCTTTTCACCTCATGTGACGGCGTCTGCAAGAGTCAAGGCTCTAAGCTAACGTAGCCTTTGTCACTGCTATCTGAAGCCACGTGTTAAGTGACCTTTATACTTACGTCTCTGGTAGAGACCTGTCAGTCAGCCTGTAGCCCCGCCCTAAAGCATCCCCTGCTTTATGGTCTGTTTGACTCTAAATGGATCATGATTTGATAAATGAACATCAGGCTGTATTGACTAAGATTTGAAAGTAATGTTCTCATAGACTTCTGAAGGACCAGAGGAGTCGCTCCCTGGTGGTCACTACAGAGAATGCAGCTTCTTACAGTCTCTTCCAATACAAAGTTCTTCATCTTTCTCTCAGGTGCCGATGGTCGAGCTGAAGCTCGAGCATGAGGGCTCTGTCTCATCCCCGGCAACCATCTCAAAGGTCATGGGCACTTCCTACTCTTCGCCCTCAAAGGGCGGCAGCTCCTCCTCCTCCTCCTCTTCCTCCTCCTCTATCACCAATCTCGGCGGCGACATCTTCAACATGGGGGGCGGCGGCGGCGGCGGTGGCGGCGGGGGTGGTGGAAGCCACATGTCCACCACGACCGTCAGCTGCACCAGGAGCGTCAGGAAGACTGTGGTCCACACCAAAGACGGGCCGGTGGAGAAGATGGTGCAAGTGATGGAGGGAGGCCCCGGGTGCGAGGCCATGACGGACGTCACAAAGGGAGGGATGGGCCCCTTCCCCGGCTTCACATCCTCCTCCTCCTCCTCCTCTTCTTCGTCTTCTTTTTCGACCAAGACGACTGCGCACAGCGGGGGCACCAAGGGAAGCCTCCTGGACACCGGGTTCGATCTGACGAATCCCTTCGGCGACGACCTCGGCCTCTTCAAGACGTCCAACGTGGACGACGACCTCCCCGACTTCCAGGCCCGCAGTGTGAAGAGCACGCGGCTCGAGCGGCACGCCGACCACGTGGGAAAAGGTACGGAGACGTCCGACCTGGAGTGACCCGGAGAGCGGCGCGGTCGGCTGCTAGCATCAGCTAGCCTAGCATCAGCTGGCCTAGCCCAATGTACCAAAAGTGAAGTGAACACAGTGATTCTTTTGTTTACATCAATATAAAGTCATTACATGTTACTTGTTTTATTTCGATCTTGATTAGATTTTGCAAATTAAAAAAATGTCAACTCTTCTCATTATTTGGTTGCTTTATCGGCCTCGGTGGCTCCGCCCTGCGCAAACCTTTCTCGTCCACTCGCGTCAATTTGAATTCATATTTAATCTCTTTTTCCCGTATTTAGTGCGATTCCGTCGTACGTTACCGTAGATTCAGAGGTCACGAGGTCACCGAGGGACCACGGATGGAAAAAGCCGTTGTTGCTTTGAGATTTGTCTTGTTGAGAAATAACATTTCACACCAAAGTTGCCAAACGGAATGAAACAATGATGGGTTTCCCCGGTAAATGACCGTTAGCGTAGCATTTCAGCTAGCCGCTCCAAGCTAACTCGCGGCCCGCGGTGTGCTTCCCCCTCCCCTCTGTCCACAGATTGCGTCGATGCTCAGCAGCACCACCTGAAGGGCGAAGCGAACGGCCTGTTTAAGATCAAACCGGGCGGCGCTGACGGGGGGGTGGTGGAGGTTTACTGCCGGCAGGAGGGGCTAATGGGGGGGTGGCTGCTAGTCCAGCAGAGGGAGTCCGGCGCGCTTGACTTCAACCGATCTTGGGCCGAGTACCGCGGCGGGTTCGGCTCGGTGGACGCCGCGGGCCGGGGGGAGTTCTGGATAGGCAACCGCAACCTCCACCTGCTGACCGGCGGGGGCGAGACCCTGCTGAAGGTGGAACTGGAGGACTGGGAGGGGGGTGCGGCCGGCGCCGAGTACACTGCAGCGGTGGGCCCGGAGGGGGAGGGCTTCCCGCTGAGCGTGTCCGGGTACCTCGGGGACGCCGGAGACGCCCTGACGCCGACCCACGGCGGCATGAAGTTCAGCACCTTTGACCGGGACAACGACGCGTGGGGGGGGAGCTGTGCTGAGGTTAATGGCGGCGGTTGGTGGTACAACGGCTGCCTGTCGGCCAACCTCAACGGAGCGTACCACCACCCGCCGCACAGGGGGGAGGGCGGAGTGGTGTGGTCGACGTACAAACCGGCCGATTACAGCCTGAAGGCCGTCAGGGTCTTCATCCGGCCGGCGGCTTTCTAGAGAGTGAGGTTCAATATGTACCATGTATATATATATATTTATATATCAATATGATGCATATATAGATATATACATCTATTTAAACCCCAAAGAATGTGCTGGATGAAGAACTTCAGACTATCGACCTGCTGGTGAATCATTCTAAACTAAACAGTGTAAATGTCAGCGACCTGTTTATCTACCCGGTGTTCTCAGAACGAGACGACTGAACTTTGCTCAATAAAGTTTCAATGTTCACTTCAACCGCTGTAGTTTGTTTTTATTTATTTGAACAAATGTACAAAGAAAATAAATATTTACTATTGAAATGTATTTTACGTGTATTATTGGTGAAAACAACAATGTCGTCAGTCAATATTAAAGAAATGAACATTATTATCATATTATAAAATTCAACAGAATTTGACAGAAGATGTTAAAATGGGTCCAAACCAAAGGTTTTTTTTCTGCTGGAATTAGTAGATTATGTCACATATTGTCTCATTCGTACGGAAATGTGACGTATTGGAGAATCTGGAACCAACACCACATTTTCTCATTGAATTAAATGAGAAAATGTGTCCAAACGTTCGACTGGTTCTGCGAATTATAGTTTTACTTTAGTTGTTTAGTAGCAATGTTCCCTCTAAGCTGCTTTAATTAGACCAATAATGTGTTTTTCTGTACCATTCTTCAATGTAACACAGTGAGTGACAGGTGTTCAGCCAACGATACGAAACGGTTCAATTACGCTATGCAGCCAATCATAGCGTAGATAGTTCTATGTGCCCCGCCCATACGCGCCGTGCAGTTAAGAAACGCAACCCCTTACTTATCATGGCAAACCAACGGGCAGCGGCAAAGTAAAAAAGATGCGGTTCTTTTAGGGTGGAATGTCTGAGTATGTGTGACATGTATGCAAATAGAAGAACAAGCAGTGAAACTGGGTGAGATTTTTTCTTTTTCGAGTGAGAAAGGTCTACTCTGCAAAACATGCAGCGAAGCCAAAGTACCAGCTTGATCCAAAGCATCATTTGTTTTATCCCAGAATGTAAAACACCTTCATTAACGTATGATTCCGTTCATCAAATCTAAGTTTTGGTATTTCTTGCAGAATATGTTTTAACTATAAATCATTAACTCTGCTCCGCCCACCTCCTCCGATCCGCTCTGTTTGATTTAGACTGAACTGAACCGAAAAACCAAACTAATACAACTAAATATACACAGTAATACTACTAATGACCTTTAGTCATACAACTGGATGGAGAAATAAATCACTCCTGAAGAACTACGTCTATACTACAGTAATTGTTATGAAGGACTACAGTAATACTACTTAATCATAGTACTATTAGATACGCGTATCGAGAGACCAGATGAGAGGTCGCTTCTCCACGGAGCGTTTTAGCATCTTTCAGTTTATTATTTATATACTTTGATATATTCATTTTGTGAAATGACACAATGGGCAGACAGGAAGTAGGTTCCTCAACGTGTTTATTGAGTAGTGGAGGTCACAGCACATTCCCTTCACTTTGTGGGCGTTGTGTGCGTTTCCATCATCATAAAGGTCACAGCAGAAATAAAGGGCACCAATTAATATCCGTGGAGCTCTACAAAGACTTTTGAAGCTTCTCTTGTGGCTCCAGTTGGCCCAACGTCACTTTGGCGGCGTCTTTTATTTTGGCGGTGTCTTTTATTTTGGCGGCTCTACCCGATCAGCCGGGCATGTGAAAGTAGGGCCTGATCTTCATGCTCATGGCCTTGAGCGAGTACCAGCTTCCCTTCCAGTTCATCCACACCACGCCGTCGTCGGTGCCGTGCTTCGCCATGTGGCGCGTGTAGGCTCCGCCCATGTAGTACCGGCCGTTGGGATTGGCCGAGTGGCAGCGGTTGTACCACCAGCCGCCGCCATCCTCTCTGGCGCACTGTTTGCTGGGGTCGCCCGGGTTCCTGGTTCAGGGTGACAGAGTTCAAATATATTTATATACATAAACCTTTATTGATCCAGAGGTTCCAATACATAAGAGGTATATTCAACTGGTATTTATATATATTTATTTATATAATTGGTCGTCCCGCTCACCAGTTGTCGTGGTCTCGGTCGTAGGTGCTGAACATCATGCCGTTGTGGATGGTCATCGTGCGGTTTTCACCGAACAGTTCGTACGTACCCTCCAGCAGAGAGTTGCCGGCGTTGCCGGAGTAACCGTCGACCGCCAGCACGTAGCTGGCCGTCTCGCCCATGACGGTGAACTGGCGATATTGGGCGTGGACCTACGTGAAAAAGGGGAGGAGGTGGGAATGAATGAGCATACTAACTAAAATATGTTCATTTAGACAACTTTTTGTCTTTGCCTTTTCAAAAAAACATATTTGACTTTTTCATTTGAGTTTTTTCTCTTTTAAAAACGTTTTTGACTTTTTCTCACGCTGTGTGAGAGTGAATTGTTGTTTGTCTCTATGTCGACTCATTTAGGATATAGTTAATACTTATTTTGACATGCTAAACTGTGACTTTTCAAAACTTTTTTCTACATGACTGACTGAAATCTTCAGGTAATAATCCCTGCAGTCGCTGGAGGAGGACTCACTCTGGCTCCTGTCCAGTCCTCCATCTCAATGAGGACCTCAGTGGGGCCCATCTTGGTCAGTTGACTAATACGGTCGTTGCCCAGCCACTGTTCACCTGTCAGGTGACGGAGGAGAAAGGTACGCTGGTCAACCATTACCAGGTAACCGCAACAAAAACCAGTGGATCATTTACAAAACGAAGGTCTCTGTACATCACGGGGGGTAAAACTGTAACGAGTTAAAGTACGTTTTGCTAAAGTAATCAAAACAGTAAATTTTGATAACAAAAACTATTCTAGGCTGGAGTCTGGGGTCAGGGGTCAAAGGTCTCACCTGGAGTCTCGCAGTGACCCTTTCCGACGTCGAAGGCAGTGTTGCCAAAACCGCGGCGATATTCGTCCCAGCGGCGGCCGAAGTCGACGCTTCCGTCGAGCCGGTTCTGGATGAGCAGCCACCCTGGGAGAGAAGAAGGTACAGAAATATCAAATATCCAAAGTACCATGAAAGGAACCCACGGTGAAAGGTCAGATGGCCTGCCGGACGTGGACCCTCACCTCCGTTCTGGGTGGTCTGGTCACAGAAGACCTTGTAAGCAGGGTAGAAGGGATCCGGCTGGATCAAGTACATCTGGGAGTCTGTTCCTCCACGGCGGTAGATCTCCTCACATTCCTTCCCTGAACCCCCCACCAGGAGAACGGGTTTACTCTTCTGCTCCACCAAAGAACTACAGGGTGTCTGCTTCATTAATCTGTAGCATTAGCATTGATAGCTAAAGATAACTCTATTCAAACCTGTTCAAATCCTCCGCTCATTAATCCAATTATGGCCGTCACATTTTGGTTTTTATCAGAAGATGAAATCAGCGTGTAGCCCCGCCCTAAAGCGTCCCCTGCTTTATGGTCTATCGGACCAGAGGAGTCGCCCCCTGCTGGTCACTAATGTATCGAATCCTGCGCCCTCTAGGGGTCACCACACTTACCGGACACCACCGGTATGGGACATTTGGTCTGGCACGGCTCCTGGCACTCCTCCTTCTGGGCCTCGATGGCCATCTCCAGCCTCTGGATCTTTATCCTGATCTTGTCCAGGACCCCCTGCAGCACACAGAGGTTCAAGCTCATCGTCTACCTTCTCTCCAAGACATTACTTAGAAGAAGGAAACATTTCTGAGAGGCGACAATAAAATACATGTACATATCTATATGTATAGATATATATATTTACCTGCAGCACTCTGATGGTGGAGGGGAAGGTGGTGTCCACTGTGTCCTTGATGTAGGCGTGTTGTTCCTCCACCCGGTCGGTGTACTGAATCACCACCCTGTTGTTGCCTGAGAGAACGAGTGTAAAGGGGATGAAACAGATCCAGGATTCATCGTCACCAAATGAAAGTGGTTTCAATGTGAACTGTTCTTAGAGGTAGAAGGTGTCCTGGTCTCAGCTGGGCCCTGAGTCTCCAGCAGCAGAGGTTAGAACCTGCGGTGCGACGTACCGTTGACCACCCTCTGCCTCTCCCTCAGCGAGGTGGACATGCTGGTGACGTAGGTGTAGACGCTGTTGGAAGCTTGGGACAAATCCTCCACCCGAGGCTTGAGCTCGTTGATGCCCTGTGGATAAAAGCAACGCATGCAACAGGAAGTCACTGCATGTAACAGGAAGTCACTGCATGTAACAGGAAGTCACTGCAGGTAACAGGAAGTCACTGCATGTAACAGGAAGTCACTGCAGGTAACAGGAAGTCACTGCATGTAACAGGAAGTCACTGCAGGTAACAGGAAGGCACTGCATGTAACAGGAAGTCACTGCATGTAACAGGAAGTCACTGCAGGTAACAGGAAGTCACTGCATGTAACAGGAAGTCACTGCGGGTAACAGGAAGTTACTGCATGTAACAGGAAGTCACTGCAGGTAACAGGAAGTCACTGCATGTAACAGGAAGTTACTGCAGGTAACAGGAAGTCACTGCATGTAACAGGAAGTCACTGCAAGCAACAAGAAGTCACTGCATGTAACAGGAAGTCACTGAATGCAACAGGAAGTCACTGCTTGTAACAGGAAGTCACCGCATTCAACAGGAAGTCACTGAATGCAACAGGAAGTCACTGCTTGTAACAGGAAGTCACCGCATTCAACAGGAAGTCACTGCATGTAACAGGAAGTCACCGCATGTAACAGGAAGTCACCACATGTAACAGGAAGTCACCACATGTAACAGGAACAATAAAGTAATCCCTCGGATTACGGAAGTAAAAGATGTTTTTACCGTCTTGACATTTCTCTCTTGCTTCAGCAGCATCGTCTTCAGCTCGCAGCCGCTGGGACACAAAACACCCTGCAGGGGGGGTCTGTGGTTAGTGTGGATCAGTGAGGGGGGGGGGGTCTGTGGTTAGTGTGGATCAATGAGGGGGGGGTCTGTGGTTAGTGTGGATCAGTGAGGGGGGGGCCGAGAACACAAAGGCCTCCTACCATCTCCTCAGCGGCGTGCATGCATCCGCCCTCATCCGGCTGCCTCTCCTTTTCCTTCGGCTGCTGCCCCCCGACCGGAGCGGGGGTGGGACGGCCGCGGTATCTGGGTGAAAGAAGAGCCCCCGGGGGGGCGGGGGGGGGTCACCACGGCGCAGTGAGACGGGTGTATGTCTGTATGAACATATCTTTAAATCTCAATGGATGTGTTTTCATCGTCTTTCAGGGGGCCCTGTTTTAACGTACCTGGCTCCGCCGCTGATAGGGGGCGGGACATTGCGGTTGCGGGTGTAGGTGTCCCCGCCCCTCGTCAGTGGGCGGTGCCCACGGGCGTCTACGGCCGCCGCTTTGGCCTGAAGGGACACGAGAGAAGACGGCGCGTCACGGGGGGGACACAAATACATCAGAGTAAGATAAAGGTGATTAAACAAATGCTACGATAATGTAGATTATAATATTCTGTGATATTCTATTGAATATTCTGTGATATTCTATATAATATTCTGTGATATTCTATAGAATATTCTGTGATGTTCTATAGAATATTCTACGCACCGTTGCATTCTTTGCAGATGAGCCCTTGTTGTCCTGTCAAAGACAAAAGAAGACGTATGAAACATGATGACGTATCAGAACATTAAAAGACGCGTCAGTTGGGCCGCGTCTCAAACTGAGTGAGTGTTGTTTTTCCATCATAAGAAATGTGATCTGGTTTTAATCCGTTTCCAGATAAATGTGAACATGGGATGAAACCGCGTTAAACACTCTAGTTTCATACAGTTGTTCTTATTAGAATAAAATGTTTTACACGCAGATGACATGTGGGCGATAACTCACCACTTCGTAGTCGTCGTAATCCAGGTTGTCCTGCGCCGCGGCCAGACACACACACACGCACACGCACACCCTCAGCAGCGTCCTCATCGTGTCCTCGTCCTCGCTCTGTCCCCCGAGTCCGACCCGCCGGCTTTTATCCCGGCTCGCTTTATTAATCATTGGTGGAACCGGGCGACGTGAGCGGGGACGGTTTACCCGAGCTGAGTCACCCTGGGGAGGTCAAAGGTCAAAGGTGAAGGCGGCAGAAAGTGGATTTACTTAAACAGATTAAAAGTACCTCTGAACATAAATCTACATGTTCCTCTCTTGACCTTTGACCCTCTGAAACCATCTGAGAGACTCAAGCTTTAATTAAACTCTTTAATTCCTCGGATTATTTTATTATTTAAACGTTTCTTTAAAGCAGAACTATTACAACAGGTCACAGCCAAACAACACAAACACAAAGTCACTTCCCGGCTGTGAAGAAGACTTCGTGTGACTGTTTACACAGAAAATAATAATCACAAGCAGAGATTTTACCTTTATACCTTTTATTCGTATTATCGTCATGAGTCATTTTCTCTCTTCTCTTCTAAACTCAGTCAGAGCTGTTTTTGTCAGAGCAACACAACTTTGTTTGAGTCCAAAAGGACGAGTTGTGAAAAAACACACAAACCTGTCAAACATTTGATTGTGATTTCATGGCACACGTTACACATGTAAGAAGAACCAGTGATGATGATGACGATGATGATGTCATCGCACGGCTACGCTCTAATCATTTCGATCCCCCGGGAGGAGGTCTCACGTTGCCACGGTTACCGCTCAGAGTAATATGGGTGGGGCCAGACCGGCAGGCTCCTCCCCCTCAGGTGGTCTCGTTGGAGGAGGCGTTGATCCTCTTCTTGAGGAGCTCACAGCCCAGAACCGGAGCGATAAGTCTCTATTTTATTCATTATTTGTCACACAGTTACTTTCTCTTCTTCTATTGTGCAGAACATTTCATGCACACAGACAACTGGCGTCAAAGGAACGAATGTGCCTCGTGTTGTAGAACATTACTGATGATCCTTTATTATGCTCCTCACCGGCAGACATCTTCCCTCCCGCGCTCGGCCCACCGCCACGCTGGAGAAGGAGTGTGGCGCCTCCTGTCCACAGGGAGGAGAACTGCTCCCAAACGTTAACCATGAAGCAAAGATCTGTCCTCCTCGCGTCTCTTGATGGGGACGAAATGGGGAAGTGTTGCCTGGAGCAGATGTCTCTGTGGTCACGGTCCTTTACCGCGGTTACACTGTATGACATGACAGAGGTGTCAAGTAACGAAGTACAAATACTTCCTTACTGTACTTAAGTAGACATTTTGGGTATCTATACTTTACTGGAGTATTTATTTTTCAGAGGACTTTTTACTTCTACTCCTTACGTTTTAAAAACAGCCTCGTTGCTTCCGGCTTGTCGCAGTTCAAAAACACACACACAAAAAAAACACCGGGTGGGAAAAGTGGTCGGTGGAAAGTTGGTATTTATCGACATGGACCCTCCTCCTCTTCCTCCTCTTCCTCTTCATGACCGTGGGTTTGTCCTAAATGTTTTATTGAGAGTCACAACACAGCGACTTGCAAGCAGCGTATTAAATAAAGTGTCTTGTGTCTTAATGCGGCTTTGGAAATGAACACAAAGGGATTCTGTATTTGTTCATGAAGCCTGAACATACTTAAAATAACCGACCGTGTTTCCATCATTATAAACAGGTTAAAACAAACCCTAGTATCTGTACTTCTACTTGAGTAATAAATGTGAATACTTTTGGCACCTCTGATGACGTGACAGAGAACACGTGTGCAACGTGTGGCTGCTCACAACAAACACGGACTTACACGTCAAAAGGTATTTCACACATTTGTCATCCCTCTACGGATGTTTCTGACAGAACTCTCCAGACGTTCTTATTCACACACGTTGGCACTAGAAGGTCTTGTCACCTCTTCATGCTCACTACCTCGTCTCCTCCAGCTTCCGCTTCACGTCCTTTAAAATGTTCAACTCTCCCCTGTCCTTTAATCAGGAATCATCACGTCAGTCCGCACGGAGCTGGAATACAGAAACACGCACTCATGTAAGATGAGAAAAGCCACACAAAGAGTTTGACTCGTCGCTTGTTATGATTCATCGGCTTTACAACAGCGGTTCAGAGAACACGAGCACACGCGATCAATCGTGTATGTGTGATTTATGTTGTGTAACTTCACCTGATGGATGAGCGGAACTGAAAACCTTAATGAACGTCACACTTCCTCTTCTGTCAGATCCGACTTCCTCTTTCTTTCACTTTGCTTTCGTCCTCCTCTTGATGCTCGATTCACTCGACGATTCATTCGTCCACTCGCCGCCTTCAACGCAGGATGGGCCAGCCGCCCGACCGCCACCTCGCCCTCCTCCTCCTCCTCCTCCTCTGGGGTCAGAGGTCGAACCCAGAGGTCAGGAGGCCGTCCTGCGATCGCTGTGACCGCCGGCTCGCCTGCAACTGCTCCTGCGGCGGATGGACTTGCGTTCCCACGGTAACGGACCGGGCGCTGACTCTCGACCTCTCCTTCAACTACATCACCGCGGTAACGGGCGACGATCTGACAGGACACGGGGCGCTGGGGTCCCTCAGTCTCCATGGTAACGTTGATTGGGGGATTGTGATGGTCTGGTAGGCGGGGAGCTAATGAGACGTGACACTTGTACCATAATAGTTTAGCTTCTTTACAAATTTGTGTTCATGGAACCTCCTAGAATGAAGGATTTCATCACACGTCCTGCAGGTAACAAAGTGTCCGCGATCCACCCGTCAGCGTTTGACCCCCTGTGGAGCCTGGAGGAGCTGGATCTGTCCGACAACCAGCTGAGCGTCCTCGACCACCGCTGGTTCCTCCGGCTGGGAGCTCTGCGGGAGCTCAACCTGCTCCACAACCCGTACAGGTGAAGCGCCCGCCGGGTCAACCGCTCAAAGGACCAGCGGCTCGCGCGCGATTGTTCACGCCTCTTGTGTCCTCCAGCCGCCTGGGCTCTGGCGCCGTGTTTCGGCCGCTGGTGCGGCTGAGGAGGCTGCGGTTTGGAGGTCCTGCTCTGGAGGAGCTGAAGAGAGGAGACCTGTCTGGAGTCACGGAGCTGGAGGAGCTCACCGTGGACGCCAACAACCTGACCAGGTGAAGGTCCTCAAGAGGTCAAATGCAACACATGTGTTACTGTGAACACGATGTTCATCCACTTAAAATACAAGATCTAAAAAGATGATCAATCGGATTCTGAGGTTTAAGACTGTAAATCGACAATAAGCAAAGTAGGGAAAGTAGAAGCAAGGTGATATTTAAAGTAGAAGAGGAGTTTTCGTGAGCGTGTCATCAGGTTTTTGTTCAATGGAAGGAAATTCTCCATTAGCGGTTGTAAATGACCAAAGGTTGACGCATTGCGTTGTGAAGCCACAGTTTGCCGTCCCTGTGAAGCTCGTTCGATTCCCCGTCTCCTTCTCTCCCTGCAGGTACGAAGCCGGGGCTCTGGCGTACGTTTGGCCCCTGGATCGCGTCACGTTGAGGCTCCGCGGCCCATTTTTAGGGAACACATCTTTGGCCTCGGCTGTGCTCGGGGACGTGTCTTACCCCGAGACGCAGCTGGTTCTGGAGGACCTCAATGTGATGAGGAACCGGTCTGCTCAGCCCTTCAGAGAGACGGCCAGCAGGAGGGTCAGGTCGGTCCCAGTGCCTCCTTCTTTGCTTCTTGTGCTCATGCAGAATTCCTCATGAAGTACTGAGGATCACACACTGAAAGGGTACGTTAGACATGCGGTACCCAAACATTGGGTTTGTGGTGGAAGATTTTGCACAGACAATCGTTAAGTAAGAAACAAAGGCTCTGAGTCAAGTATGTCTTTTCTCCGTTTATTTCCTTGCAAGGGAAAAAGGGTCACAACAGCTACGTGGTCAGTAGACTGTCAAGAACCTCCTTCTGCCCCCAACACATCGGGGCTGTTCTTATACCTAAACTTAGATATCGGTGGCGTCAACAGAAACCGTTAACCATCTTGTTGAGTCTCTACAGCCAGGGTACTGGGAACATCTTGTCCATGTGAACCAGACATCAGTTCTTTGACCGTGTCCTTGCTCTCCCAACATGCTTAAACAAAGGTGGTCATAGACATAACAAACACTTTGTTCAGTCTCTACAGCTATGACGCTGGAAACATCTCATCCAAGTGGGAGACATCAGTTCTTATGTCAGGGCCTTTGTGACCTAAGCACTTGCAACTAATAAACTGGTTATACAAATGAAGCATTTAAAAGGGTCACATATCATTTTCCCATTACAGGTTTCTCTTCAGGGGAGACATCACAGGCAAAAACGTAGAGAAATATGAGGACATTCTCTTTGTAAAAACATTTAAAACAAAGCATTTTGAACCTTCATCCAATGTTCAATGTTGTACAAATGATTACATGTAATTAGAGACCGAATAAACAAACCATTTCAGTACATTCGCAATTTTATGCCATTATCAATACGTTCTTGGGGTGATTCAACTTATATTCTCATAGATGTAAAACGGGCAAACCAACAAATCCGCCTCTGATGTCACTTTTCAGGAAAATCACCTTCCGCAACTTCTCTGTGTCCGACGAGGCCATCGTTGATCTTCTCATGGTGATGAATGGAGCGCCGCTCACCTCGCTGTTCATAGACGGCCTCACGCTGTCAGGCGAGGGGAGGTAGGAAACCGGCACCATCTAGCTAAGTTCTGTGGTACCGCCTGTCAGGCCGCATTAGGAGACGTTTTGGTTGAACGGCACCTTGCCACAGTTCCAGTCATTTCCTGGTTTGGGCCTTAGCTCCTCCCCTTTGCAGCATGTTTAATTGACCAATCACCCGCCTTCTTGCTGAGTAGTTTGGTGCTGTGTTGTTTCCCTGTTTGGCGCCAGGTGGGAGCGAGCCAAACGGACCGACCATAAAAGCATCGACGAGTTCTTCATGCGCAACGTCGTGGTGCTGAAAGTCTTTCATTTCGCCTCCTTTCTGGAACTGTCTTTTCTGCTGCACTACCCCAGCAAAGTGTCCATCATAAACAGTCAGGTGAGGACGGCGGCCGCTGCGGCGCGCACACGGCGGGCGCCCGGTGTCCCCGTTTGAAGTCTGAACTTTTCCCCTCAGGTGTTCGTGATGCCGTGTCTCACGTCCCGCCTGCTGGTGAACCTGCAGTACCTGGACCTGTCCGACAACCTGCTGACTGACCTGACCATGATGGAGACGCTGTGCAACGGCGACGGCACCCTGAAGGGCCTCCGGGCTTTAAACGTCAGCGGAAACGCTCTGAAGGTGGCTTGAAAATAAATGTAACATTTATCAGGGTCCAAACTCTGGCTGCACTTTAGAGAAAAACATTGAACAAAGTCCTGACCTGAAGACGTGTCTGTCTCTGTCTTCTCTGCTGTCCAGTCTTTGTCCACGATGAGCCAGCAGGTAGCCAAGCTTTCCAAACTGACCCACCTGGACATCAGCAGGAACGGATACAGCTTCATGCCCATGGGCTGCACCTGGCCCTCCACCCTGCGATACCTCAACATCTCCAGGGCCAAACTCACCAGCATCACGCCCTGTCTACCCGTAACTCTGGAGGTACTGAGGCGGGACCCTGAGGACCGGACCGGTCGCAGCAAACACCCCGTTTATCCGTTGCTCTCTCACGTACAGGTCTTGGATCTGAGCTACAATGATCTCAACCGCTTCACGGTGCCCCTCCCCGCCCTGAGGGAGCTCCACCTCTCTGGGAACAAGTTGCTGAGGCTTCCCCCTGGAGGCCGGTTCCCCAACCTGCAGACCCTCACAGTGCAGGTAAGGAGCATCTGTCGTTCCCGCCGCGGTTCTCTGTCTTCTCCCGGCGTGACGCCACCGCGTTCTCCCACAGTCGAACACCCTGAACACCTTCGGCCCCGCGGATCTCCGGGGGTACAAGCGGCTCCAGGACCTCCAAGCGGGTCAGAACAAATTCGTGTGCTCCTGTGATTTTGTCCACTTCCTCCGGTCGGCCCTTCGCGGCGTCGGAGACGTGCATCTGACCGACGGAGCGGAGAGCTACGTCTGCGACTCCCCTCTCCACCTGCAGGGGGAACCGGTGGGCCGAGTCCGGCTGTCCGTGGTCGCGTGCCACCGGGTTCTGTTCGTGTCCGTGAGCTGCGGGGCGGCGCTGTTAGTAGGGGTGCTGGCGTGTGTCCTGCTGTGGCGCCTCCACGCGTTCTGGTACCTCAAGATGATGTGGGCGTGGCTGAGGGCCAAACGGAGCTCCCGGCGGCGGCGCAGAGACGGCGAGGCGTCGGAGCAGTTGCTGTCTTACGACGCCTTCGTGTCCTACAGCGAGAGAGACGCCGGCTGGGTGGAGAACTTCCTGGTACCTGAGCTGGAGGAGCCGAGGTACCGTCGAGCTACATTTTAGTTTTACGTTTCTTCATGTTTGTTAGTTGGCGAGTAAAAAGCCAAAAGACCTTGAAGGTACCGAGTCGCCACCCGTTTGTCTTCTGAACGAGGCGACTTTGACCAACGGTCTCCAGAATGCGAGTTGAAGTTCGGTAGAAGACGACGAGCAACAGCCACATGAACTCATAGCTGTTACCGTCCCTCTGGTTCTAACTCCTCCAGGGACAACGATGAAGGCGCTACGACCCACAGAGCCCCGCGACCTCTGACCCTGTGCCTCCACAAGCGGGACTTCCTTCCCGGACACTGGATCGTGGACAACATCATGAGCGCCATGGAGCGCAGCCGGCGCACCGTCTTCGTCCTCTCGGAGAATTTCGTCCTGTCGGACTGGTGCCGCTACGAGCTGGACTTCTCGCACTTCAAGCTGTTCGACGGCAGCGCCGGCGGAGAGGCGGCCATCTTGGTCCTGCTGGAGCCGCTGTCCAAGGAAGACGTCCCCAAGCGCTTCTGCAAGCTGCGCAAACTCATGAGCTCCAACACCTACCTGGAGTGGCCTCAGCGGGAGGAGGGCAGGGCGGAGTTCTGGAGGAGGCTGCGCTGCGCTGTGGGAGGAGGAGAAGACGACCCGCTTCCACGGGATCCTTCTGGTCTCCTCACACTTTGCAGATGATCGACAGATACATTATTTTAATGAAGAAAGTCCTTTCAAACGTATCATTAATATTTGTAACGTTAAACTCACTTTGTGAATATTGCACAAACGTAATGATCCAAATCAGTTGAAAGTTACACTTTAACATTAAAGGTTAATTATGTAAAACTGCTTAATTTGCTGGTAATGTGGTGAGATGGTTTTGTGGAAAATGTAATAAGAAGATTTAAGAGATGAACAAAATACAAACAGTTTGTGCAGAATGTCACAAGATGTCATTTAAAGGTAAATTAAGTCTCTCTAGTCGACGCATCTTCATGTCCACTTGGGAAGCTGCAGGCGTTTGACTGACGGCCTTTAAATGGTGCACTTAAAAATAAAATGAAATCAGGAGCCGTAAAAGCCGACGTTGATGTTTGGTGTCGATGGCGACAAGAATAATGAAGATGAATGACAGGAAACTGATTGTGAAGATAATCATTTAATATAATGTGAATATATCAGGAGTCCCAAAGCCACATGGGTAAAAAGAAAAGGCAGATATGTCAAAAAGAAGAATCGGACCCAAACCAACACACAAACTAAATAAAAAGAACATACTTAGCTGTTAATATGATACTTTCAGACACGCAACATGTGACAACACTTCAAATAACAGATACAGAAGTAATGCAGAGAAGGAAACAAAGTCACATTTGACTATTTGACTCTCAGCGCTGCGTAACGTTGGCACTTCACCTCCGTGAGTCTGTGGCCATGGCGACGATACAACAACACATGATGTGTGAACGGGAGCATCTGTCAATCTATCTCCATTGGTGAGTGCCCATCAGGGAGTGCTCGCTCTGTCTTGGGGACGCTCTCGAACAGTTCTTCCAGGTAAGGATTTCCCCGAGTCTCCTCCTCGACTCTCTTCAACTTCTCCTCGTCTAGCTTGCTCACAAAGTCCTTAAATATATTACGCACAGGCTGAGCGAACTCGATCAGCCTGTGCTTTGAGTTGTTAAACTCATAGTGAAAGCCAGCAGTGTGCAAACCAAAAACTCTACCGCAGACATCGAACACTGGAGAGCCGGAGGCGCCGTGATACATGAAACTGTTATAAGTCACGACATCTGCAAATGGCTCTTTTTTGAGCCCATTTTTGATTGCGTAGAGAACAAACCAATCGTCCCTATGGTTCCCTATGCTACTGATGACGGCTTGCTCCCTGTTCTCTTTCTCAATGATACATATCGGATCCATCTTCTTCAGGGCTCCTCCCGGGTGGCCGAGGATACAGCCATGGCCATTTGCCGGTTTTTTACCGAATTTCTTCAGGAGCCCTGGTGGCACCTCGAGCTGGTCTGGTGTGGAGCGTGGTTCAATCTGAACTATGGCATAATCAAGATCATCATTGTTGTAGCAGATGTCACGGTCAGCCAGCTTAAAGTAATGGTACTTTGCATGCGGCAAAGGTTCTACATAGTCAAACGTGAAATAGACATCCTCCGTCAGCTTTCTTTCTTCTATACAATCGATGAACAAGTGTGCGTTAGTCAGGATGAAATTGTCAAACAGCACAAAGCCTGTTCCCTCCACTTTTCCCTCAACAATCACTTTGCAGACGGATTTCCCCAGTTCCAGCATCTTCATGATTCTGTGGACTTCACTGAATGTGCCCTCGATCTTTCCAAAGTCTTCCCGTCTCAGGTCTAAGGCTTTCTCATAAGATCCCAGACCAGAGAACCTACTCTCCATCAGCCGTTTCAGATCTGGGTACTGCTCACGAAGCCTTTTACTAATCTCCTCAATGTTTCCCCCTGTGACACTGGTTCCTCTCTGCTGCAGTACAGCTGAGATCTTATCATTAATCTCAGACTGTGATCCTGCTGCTTCCTTCTTAATCTCAGACTGTGATCCTGCTGCTTCCTTCTTAGTCTCAGACTGTGATCCTGCTGCTTCCTTCTTAATCTTAGGTGTCTCAAGGTGAACGCCCCGTGGAAGACATATCTTGAACTTTTTCTCATGCAGGCCATCGACTTTTTCTTTGGGTTTAGTGTGAAAGTTGTCCTTGATGTTAAACAGTTCGAAGTTTCCAAGATCGAGAAAGCGACCGTCTCTCTTCAGAGCCTCTTCCACAGTGATCCCCTTCTCCCCATAGACGCGCAGATACTTGAACGTTTTAAATACAGTGTTTATGAAAAGCTTCTTTGATTTGGTGTCTTTCCCTCCGACTGTGTCGATGTAGAAGACAGAATACTTGTCTTTTGAATGCACCTTTTGGTCACATTGGTCTCGAGAGGCTTCAACCTTGTTATCGTTGCTTAATAAAGTGATCATCTCTTCGTCACGGATACAAGAACAAGGGAAATGTGTTGCAAGAGCATGTTCCTTACCCCCCTCACCCAACTGAACCACAATATGTCCATCTGTAAAACTCTTCTCTTGATAGCTTTCAGATGACTTAATGAGCTCCATCACTGTGCGAGGTCCATCACATTGGATCTTATATAGTTTCCCCTCCGTGTTCTTCACTCTGAGAGAATGTGGATGTCCTTCCTGCAGGAAACCAAGTGAGAGAATAAAAGATACACAAACTGGTTGATTAAATACAAAAACTGTGGATCAGTCGGCTCACCATGGTCTCAACATCCTGATCCTGATGCATCCTTGTTCCTAATCTCACTTGGCTGCGAACAGTCTGCGGGGGAGAAAAGAAGATGTTAAGGATGTTTCAGACATTTCAAATATCTCCAGTGGTCCGAAACGCCTCTTCAGCAGAACAATAGGTGGAAACAGGAGTCTGCTACCACTACATCCAAGGAGCCCCCACCCGGGGGTGTTTCTAGGATCCATAGAAGGGGGGAGGGGGGGCTAGCTCCTGTGGAAAAGTGGGAGTTTTGATTTTGAACATTTTGTGATTTATTTAAAGGTGCTAGTGGGCCATAAATAATACATTAAAAGACCGAATGTGCGGGCCGAATGACATCAGACTGCGAGCCAAGATCGGCGTCCGGGCGGGAGTGGAACGGGTGGCAGCCGGGCTTTACGGCCTTCTTCCTTAAGCAGTCACTCATGTTGAGACACGAACTAAACACATGTAGAAGAAAACGCTTCAGAAAAGAACTGAATCGGCCCAATAAAAGGAAACGGAGAGACTTCATCAGCTCGTTCCACCAATTTGGGTTAAGACGTCGGATCAGGGAGATTCCTCTTAAACAAAGAGGAATCTTCTTCTTCTAAAGTCTTTCTGTATCAAACCAGAATATCGTGTTAAATATTAACGCGTCTCTTAAAACTAATTGAAATGAAAGAATCCGGAGGTCGTACCTTGAGTTCACTCCGATGGCGCCGAAGAGGAAGGAAACAGTTTGAGGAAAGATATATAATGCTGGAGTTTAGGGCGGGACTCAGTTACACACACACACACCCACACACACCCACACACACACACACATACACACACACACACACACCCACACACACCCACACACACACACACAAACACACACCCACACACACACACACACACACACACACACACAAACACACACCCACACACACACACACACACACACACACACACACACAAACACACACACACACACACACACACACACACACACACACAGTGCAGTGAATGAAAGCGAATTCCTTTAACATGATGCGTCGTTTCAGTCCACCAGTGAAGAAGAACAAAAACTGGTTCTCTTATTATAACAAAGAAGAGCTTTGACTAGCAAAAGGCTGAACAGAAGTAGAACCAAACCCTGATAATCAGACAGATGGAATGAAACATATCCGCTCCCTCTCTCCCTCCTCGCTGGCATCCTCTGTTCTATCAGCTCTCCCTTCAACTGACTCCTTCTCACTCTTGCATCCGAACGCTGCTGCAGAGACTCTCCTCTCAACTCTTTCCTCCTCTCTAGACTCTCTCTGCCCTCTTACGACACGACGGACTGGCAAATCCCCTCCGGCTCCGTGGCTGTCTCAACCGGTCCGTGCCATGAGAGCCACCATGCGAGCGTCGGAAAGGAGATGGCGTAAATATAAACGACCTGACGACCTGCTTGAATTTCAATCTCTCCTCTCCTCGTTCTCTGCCTCTATCTCTGCTGCCAAAAGCTCTTTCTACCAGTCCAAAATCGAATCTTCATTCTCTAACCCCAAAAAACTCTTCTCGATCTTCTCCAATCTCCTCGAACCCCCTACCCCTCCTCCCCCCTCCACCCTTCTTCCGGGAGACTTTGTCAACTACTTCACCAAGAAAATAGCTGACATACGCTCCTCCTTCTCAAACCCACCACCTACTTCTCGCGTCCCACCGGCTTCACCTCTTTCGCCCTCACTTTCCTCTTTCACCGCCCTCTCTCCTAACCAAATTCTTACCCTAGTAACCTCTGCCCGTCCGACCACCTGCCCTCTTGACCCCATTCTATCACATCTGCTACAATCTATCGCACCTGACCTTCTTCCTTTCCTCACCTGTCTCATCAACAACGCTCTGTTATCTGGCTGTTTTCCCAATTCTCTGAAGGAGGCCAGAGTCAACCCTCTCCTGAAGAAACCCACCCTCAACCCTTCTGAAGAAAACAACTACAGACCGGTCTCTCTTCTTCCCTTCTTGTCCAAAACCCTTGAACGTGCTATCTTTAATCAACTCTCCTCTTATCTCCACTGTAACAACCTCCTTGACCCCCACCAGTCAGGTTTCAAGGCAGGTCATTCCACAGAGACTGCTCTCCTTGCTGTCTCTGAGCAACTCCACACTGCTAGAGCCGCCTCTCTCTCCTCTGTCCTCATCCTTCTGGACCTCTCTGCTGCATTTGACACGGTCAATCACCAGATCCTTATCTCCTCCCTTCAGGAACTTGGTGTCTCAGGCTCTGCTCTCTCCCTTCTCTCGTCCTACCTCGATGGCCGCACCTACCGGGTAACCTGGCGAGGATCTGTGTCGGAACCTTGTCCTCTTACTACTGGAGTTCCTCAGGGTTCCGTGCTGGGTCCCCTCCTGTTTTCGCTTTACACCAACTCTCTCGGCGCCGTCATTCGCTCGCATGGCTTCTCTTACCACAGTTATGCCGATGACACCCAACTAATTCTCTCCTTCCCTCACTCGGACACCCAGGTGGCGGCTCGGATCTCTGCCTGTCTAACTGACATCTCTCAGTGGATGTCCGCCCACCATCTGAAAATCAACCCCGACAAGACTGAACTACTTCTCTTTCCCGGAAAAGATTCGCTTACCCAGGACCTGACAGTCAACTTTGGAAACTCCGTACTAACGCCCACCTCGACCGCTAAGAACCTCGGCGTCACACTCGACAGCCAACTCTCCCTGACTCCCAACATCACCGCGACAACGCGATCCTGTAGATACACGCTCTACAATATCAGGAGAACACGTCCCCTTCTCACTCAGAAGGCAGCGCAGGTACTGATTCAGGCTCTTGTCATCTCCCTCCTGGACTACTGCAACTCCCTCCTGGCAGGTCTCCCTGCCACCGCCATTCGACCTCTGCAGCTCATTCAGAATGCAGCAGCTCCACTGGTCTTCAACCTTCCGAAGTTCTCCCACACTACTCCACTCCTCCGCTCTCTTCACTGGCTACCGGTGGCCGCCCGCATCCAGTTCAAAACATTGGTGCTCACGTACCATGCTGTGAATGGATCGGGTCCAGCTTACATCCAGGACATGGTCAAACCCTACATCCCAACCCGCACTCTCCGCTCTGCATCTGCAAAACTACTCGTCCCTCCCTCACTGAGAGCAAAACACTCGACTAGGTCTTGACTCTTCGCTGTCCTTGCGCCGAAATGGTGGAACGAGCTCTCTGAAGACACCAGGACCGCAGAGAGCCTTCACATCTTCCGCCGCAAACTAAAGACACACCTCTTCAGACTCTACCTCGACTAAAGACTAACAAACTGTAGCACTTAAATTGTACTTGTAACGTCACTCATCTATAGCAAATTGTAAATTGGCTTATTTGAGGAAATTGCATTTTCTTGTTTCTTGTTCTCCTGAGTTTGTACCCTATGGTTGAATGCACTTATTGTACGTCGCTTTGGATAAAAGCGTCCGCTAAATGACATGTAATGTAATGTAATGTAATGAAACCATTTACATAACACACACACACCTACACACCGGTGAGGCTTTTATATACATATATATATTTAATAAATACAAAGTTAAGATCAGCAGCGGTCTTATAGACAAAGGCGATGTTTATGTTGATTTGGCAAAAGAAAACTTCTGATCCTTGGAGTGTTTGTGGGAAGAGGATCAGCAGTCATATACATTTATATATAAATCTATTTAAGAAACAAACATGTATATAAACATATCGTACAGTGCGGAGGAACCCGAGTGTCCATCAAACAGAAACAGACGATACAAAAGTGGAAACATGTGGACCGGTTTGGAAAAAGGTTCTGAGGGTCCACGAGCCTCAAACCTCCAATCAGGCTTCTTCTGTCCAAGTCTCTTTTTTCTGCATCACGCCGTCCCCCTCGAGACCCCTGGAGACCCGCCCCCACGCCGTCCCCCTGGAGACCCGCCCACACGCCGTCCTCCTGGAGACCCGCCCCCATGCCGTCCCCCTCGAGACCCTTGGAGACCTTGCCTCCATGGGATCCCCCTGGAGATCCGCCTGCGGGGCGGCCTCTCTGGAGACCCAGGGTGAAGTTGACTCCCGTGGACGACGCCGATGATGATGGGTTGCCAGGCAACCAGGTATCTGAGCCAGTCGAGCAGCTGGCCGTAGAGGACGTGCGTCTTCTCCCAGCTGGAGGGACGAGAGCGAGTTGAGGAGACAAACGCCGATGATGTCACAAATAAACACAACACGTTGTTCACAAAGCGTCATCGAACCATTGAAGTGGTCTTTGGAAACAGGAAGTTGCACCTTTTGTTGGAGGACGACAACAACAACAACAACATGGACCCTCTGGTCCCATGAGAACAAGGATACGGGTTGTTCATCATCTTCTTCATGTCCACCTTCTCGTTGCAGTACGGACACGTCTGCTTCTTACCCACAATGCACCAGCCGCGGATGCAGAACTCGTGGAAGCTGGCGAGGGGGGAGGAGTTAAGGAAGAGAAAAAAAACACTACGGACGAAACCGAAACGCTGATTTCCTACGAGACAATTCTTAGCTTGTTAGTGAAAACAACAACAACAACATTTTCCCAGCTGGTTAAAGAACGGGATAAACAACGCGACCTTGGATCGACGTGGCTAACTGTCCCGTAGCAACAGTAACTAAGGGGGACAGCGGGGAGGAGGAGCAACCGGGCTGTGGAGCTTAAAGACGGGTCGTCACGGTGACCAAGCACCTCAGGGGGGGATACATGTGTCCACAGGACAGCTGGTAGGTGTCTTCTATGAGTCCTTCCTCCTCCACGTCCACCAGGATCCTCTGACCGCACACGGCGCAGATGTCCTCGCTCAGACTCCTGCTGGGCATGCCGTCCCTGTTGTAGTACTGAGAAGACAATGGTCGTCAGCTGCCTCTGTCTGTCTCCGACTGCTTAAAATGAATGGTGGTGAAAGCGGGGGGGGGGCCCACCCCGATGGTGGACGCCATGTAGTCGGAGCAGATCTCGGCGAAGTCCCTCCCCATGACGCCGTAGTAGAGCCCGTAGAACAGCATGACGACGCCCACGTCCATGGAGTCCTCCGCCTTGATCCTGCCCGGAACGCCGTCACATGACTGTTGGTGTCAGGTGAATTCATCACGACGTCACAGACTACTCGTGGGCTCTTCTGAGAGACGAGCTCACCTGAAGAAGACGTTGAAGCCGAACATGGTGAACATGATGGCCAGGTAGCCGAGGACGCCCACCGCGTAGCTCAGCTTGTAGATGAGCAGGAACCACTTGTACACCATCCTGAGGAACAGGCTCACTCATCAGCGCAAAGCAGCAACGTTCAGCAGCCGAAACATTCATCAGGTGAGAGGGGAACGTCCTACTGAGGCTCCATCTGGAGCTGCTCCGTGTAACGCCGAAGCTTAGCGAGGACACACGAGGAGCCGTTTAAGATCAGCTGGTCTACGCGGGTGACGGGTGCAGCGCCCACCTCGGCGTCCGGCAGGACAGCGGCCTGCGGGTGGCCCTGAAGATGACGTAGCTGGTGACGACGGAGAACATGCCCCACATGGACAGGAACCTCCACCAGTAGAGTTTGATGGTGAAGTAGAGAGGGACCGCCCACATCTGGACCAGCGTCACCAGCTGTGGAGGAGACGCTTTGTTACTCTTCACCTCTTTGTGGTATGCCGGGCGGTGCGAGCCCTCGCCTCCACTCACATTGTAGGAGCGGTGGTGCCGCTGCTTCCACTGCACCAGGACGATCTGAGCCACCACCAGCGTGGCGACGAGGATCATCACCATCTCGGCGTGCATGGCCTCGTGACCCCGGTGCTTCACGTGCAGCCGCTCGTGCTGCATCCTGAGCGGGAGGAGCGGAGGGATGCAGAGACGAGCACACGGGTCATTAATGGTGCATGCTGGGTAAACAGGTAACTAAAGTGAACATGGTGCATGCTGGGTAAACGGGTAACTAAAGTGAACGTGGTGCATGCTGGGTAAACGGGTAACTAAAGTGAACATGGTGCATGCTGGGTAAGCTGGTAACTAAAGTGAACGTGGTGCATGCTGGGTAAGCTGGTAACTAAAGTGAACGTGGTGCATGCTGGGTAAACTGGTATCTAAAGTGAACATGGTGCATGCTGGGTAAACGGGTAACTAAAGTGAACATGGTGCATGCTGGGTAAGCTGGTAACTAAAGTGAACATGGTGCATGCTGGGTAAGCTGGTAACTAAAGTGAACATGGTGCATGCTGGGTAAGCTGGTAACTAAAGTGAACATGGTGCATGCTGGGTAAGCTGGTAACTAAAGTGAACATGGTGCATGCTGGGTAAACGGGTAACTAAAGTGAACGTGGTGCATGCTGGGTAAGCTGGTTCCACTCACTTCCAGTTTTCATTGTGTGTCATCTTCAGCAGGTCGTCCTGCAGCAGGGACACAAATAGCTTCTGTGGGTCTCACTGGACACGCTCATGTAGGTTAACACAACGTATTACGCGTGACGTTGACCACACCCGATAACACAATGTAATGAAATGCAACGTCTGGCGGAATGAGGCGTTTCCCGTCTGCTGCCACGTCCCACAGCAGCTCGTCTCAGCTGACCCGCCGGGCAGCTAGCTAGCGAGCTAACTCCGCTAACCGGCGTCGGCTCCCGATAACGGCTCTTTTTGCTAATTCGGGCGATTAAAGCACCTGTTCGGGTGCGCGGCATTGAATTCGGCGTACTCACCTGGTGCTGCACGCCCGCCATCGTTTGGGCTAGCCCCGGTATACAGCTAGCACGGCTAGCACCGCTCTGACGGCTCCGACTGCAGCGGAGGAGGACGGCGTCCCAGCAGGGTCAAAGCGGGGAGTAAAAAGCGAAGGCTTTATAGTAGGAAAAGATGCAACCCTAAAAAGGCACCATTAATAGAAATTGTTGCAATATAAATAACCGAGTCTTGGAATGAAGTGATCAGCTTTATGGATCGATGGAAGGTTTACACTAAACTGTGAATATAATGTCTACGATGGGAATACATTTGAAAGGAAACATTTATTGCCAAACAAGGAATTTTTTTTGGTTGGTGTGGAAAAACTCAACGTTCCATCCATCATTAGCACCTTAAATTTTAACAGGTTTATCATTCGGCACACAGCTGGTCAAATACTGAATGTTGTCCTAAAGGACCAAGAGCTCTTGCAAATCTCCAGTAATCAGATTAAAGAGACAAATCGCATGGCACATACAAATTAAAACATTTGAGTTCTCAGGCATATTTAATATGACAAATTGAATAATCTTTTCCTCCCATGCAGGTAAACTTCGGTCCTAAAGTTACTTTTCTACAGCCAGAAAAGTTACACAATGAAGACGCCTGGAGAATAAAATGGAAATGTTGAACTTTTGCAGTCTTTATTATTTATTTATGAATCAGTTGAAGCTTCGACAGACATCGGCCCGTTGGACCGGTGGAAACTACGAATGGCAGGAAATGACGTCATCACAGCGCCCAGCAGCTAAACACGAGGCACAAGCTGTAGAACACACCGGCTCCACGGCGCCGACGGGTCGTCATCACTGGTCGCCCCGGGGGAGGTTATTTGTCCAGAGAGACGTCGCCCCTAAAGAGGACATCAGGTTAGAACGCGTGCATGTTTAGGACTCATCAAAAGGAGCTCTGCTCTTCGCTCAGACATCCAAGGAAGGTTTGGACCGTCATCGGCCCGTTGGACCTCTGGTGGAAACTACGAATGGCAGGAAATGACCTCATCACAGCGAAGCGCTTTAATTCATAGACTTGAGTTAAAGGTTCACGTACCAGCAGACGAGCAGCATCGGCGCAGCGTCGAACGGTCACCCTGAGAAGACATAACGGGACATGTTAGCATCAATGCTAACGACAGACTAGCATGTGATCCCTGCTGCAGGTTCGCTCAGACATCCAAGGAAGGTTTGGACCGTCACCGGTCTGTTGGACCTCAGGTGGAAACTACGAATGGCAGGAAATGACCTCATCACAGCGACTAACAGCTAAACACGAGGCACAAGCCGTGGAACACACACCTGCCCCACGGCGCCGACGGGTCGTCATCACTGGTTGATCACAGGGGGGTTCCATTTGTCCAGAGAGACGTCGACCCTGGAGGAGGACATCAGGTTAGAACATGAGGACTTTAGGAACTCCTCAAAAAGGAGCTCTGCTCTTCGCTCAGACATCCAAGGAAGGTTTGGACCGTCACTGGTCTGTTGGACCTCTGGTGGAAACTACGAATGGCAGGAAATGACCTCATCACAGCGAAGCGCTTAACTCAGGATATAGTTTCTTTGGAGTTGCATGACCTTTATAGACCATAAAGTAGAACTCACAGGTCTCCTGGTTCAGAGGATCCTTCCTGGTCTCCTCACGGCGCCCTGAAGGTCTTCATGGCCACGGCTGCAACCACATTCACAGTTACACAACGATCGAAAGAAGCAGAATCTCAACAATTAGACAATGTTCTCTTTGCTGCAGGTTCGCTCAGACATCCAAGGAAGGTTTGGACCGTCACCGGTCTGTTGACCTCTGGTGGAAACTACGAATGGCAGGAAATGACGTCATCACAGCGAAGCAATATTATGCAGTAATACTACCACAGAACACATGTTACATGTATGCAGTCACAGTACAGTATCGGCGATATAAATATAAACAAAAGCATTTAAAATCGATACACTGTACTAATGCAAAACGAGGATTTCACTGTCAGTTTAATGTATCGACGCTATAAGTTTGTTATACTTCTACATTTGCTTTATTTTTAGTTTTACCAGTTTAATTGAGTAGAAAAGTGACGAATGCACAAATAACGTTGGCTTCATTAAGACTCACTGAAGTATTAAGTTCAATGTTTTACCATCAACCACGTGGTCACCTTCCGGAAGTGAAACATTGACTGGCTCACTATAAATCTATTTAGTTTCCTTTGATGTTGATGAAAAGGACACTTTAATAAAGGGCTCAGTAACCAACAGTAACACAACGCAGAATTGCAATATGACTCAATACACGTTTAAAGGAGTTCACCACGAAGGCTTTTGATTAATAACTCGCGTTAACTATTTAATGCTCTTCCTGTGAAGCAGATTTGCCTCCAATAAACCGCTTTAATAGTGCAGATAAGTACGACGTGTCGACGCCTGCGAGCTGCACGAGCTTTGAATCTTCGACCATCCTGAACAATGGCGCCTCGTCGGTGTCGAACCTCATGTTCTAGAGCTCCTCCGCGTTGTGAGGAACCCTTCAGGCGTCTTATTTACGGAGGAAACGCGCTAAATGGAAGATATATTTACCTCGAGGAGACTCGCCGCGCGCGCGTCTCCGCTGCCTCGGATTGAAATGAACCAGCGGCAGTTTCCGCTCCTTTTTATCGCGTCCCGGTGGCTCGTGATCGGCCCGGCGGCGCGTCACCGCCACCCAGCGGCCAGGAGGCGGAGCCGTTACCACGTGACGTGGAGCTTCTCGCGGGTGAGCAGCACTCCAAGCGGTGCCTCGATGTACTGCAGAGGGGAAAACTAAATCCTGCATTCCACCTAAAGTAATGAGGCGATATTGACAAATAAATGTGAATGTGACAACTAGATACATTGCGCGTGTGAGTAACATCTATTTTTTGATAATTATTGATGAATATATATATATATTTTCAGTATACTTTAGCCTGATATTATCTAATACAAATACTAATAAATGTGTCTAAGAAAAAAATATAAATACATATATAGTCTGATGACCTTTGAGGTATTATAATGTGTACAACTATATAAATAAATGTTAAATAATAATAAACACTTCTCAATAACATTTTGTATTAATTTCCAATAACACGTATTTCAAATGACGTGTGATCAACACCAAAAAACAGCACTGGGAAACATACAAACTACAAACATGCACCTCTGGAAAAGACAAAAGATGACCTGACACAGACAAGTGGGGGAACTGAGGCTTAAACGCAGGTGGAGGTGATTGCAAACTAAACTCAGCTGTGGGGAGAAGGGGGAGAAACTAGATACAGGAAGTGCAGTGGTTACCAAAATAAAAACAGGAAGTTAATCTTCACTGTCTCTTCGAGTTGTCGCAGACACGATATGAGAGAGAGAGATTTAAACGCCCACATCACATCACTGATCTACAGATGAACC